TCTTGATGGTTTAATATTGGGTTCACAATCACCAGAAGTAGGTCCAGAGGTTATACTGTGGACACTTGCTTGTTTTCATTCATTAGCTTTTGCCAGCCTGTCTCCCCGCCTGCTTGCTGTGACATTTTTATTTCGTAGGGATTTAATAGTCCATAATTTGATTACTGAGTGAGACATGTCTCCTGCGCAGCTGTGTGGGGATACCTGGATGGATGAGTGCGCATGTCTTACCCTGGCCGTGTGAGTGCCAGGGTCCTGCTTGTAGTGTGTGTCAGATAGTGTGGCTTGCAGTGGCTTCTCCCCAGAAGTGTCCGTGTCCTTTGGAAGGCCTTGCTCTCAGCAGAACTTGGAATTTTATGCAAAGTTGAGCCCAGTTAGTACTTACATTTGAGAAATTTCTGGAGAGTTGTAAATGAAAATCCCACAAAGACAGAAGAATAGAATTGAAGGCAAGCAGCCCTTAGGGCAACATGCTGTTGCAGTCTGTCTGTCTGCAGCAGAAAGTAAGAGGCTCCAGGCTCCAGGTTTGGACATGTCTTTTGGTGTGTGCATTACAGGTGTGTGTATGTTAGAGAGGTAAGCACGCTACAACTGCATTTTCATTTCTTCTCATATCTTTCTGTGCTTATGATGCTATGTTTACTTTGATAAAGCAGATTGCCATCCATGACAGTTGAGAGAATGTTAGACTGTTAAAACCTAAAGGACTGATGATGGAAGAGACATCCCCATGATCTACATACAGTGTCGGAAAACTATCTTGAATGGAGGGTTAAGAGATTTATTTTTTGAAAACTAGAGTATTGTACGCTATTGTATTCTCGACACCCAAACCCAGTTTAAGTGACATGATTTCATGCATTCACAGTGACTTGTGTTAATCCCGATGATGTGAGGAGAAAGACCTCTGACCCAAATCATCATCCCAAGTTAAGTAAAACAAGCAGTTAATTAAAGCCAGCCTTTTATTCTTGTAGATGTGGTACATCTCTAAGGCAGGGTTCAAGAGATCAGCGTTATATGTGAGGGGGACAGGTTTTTATAACTCTGGGTAGGCAGGGGTTTTTCAGATGGGAGATTGTCAGACAAAATGGGATGGGTGGGGTTGCAGGAGCAGAACACAAGCCTAACAAGTTGGTCATAATGACCCCGGAAACAAAGAGCAGACTGCAAGGCAGTTGTAACAACAGGGAGTCATAATAGGGTACCCATCACAACCTTTTAAAACAAAGGTAGGGTTGCAGGATGGTCATCACAACCTTTTAAAACAAAGGTAGGGTTGCAGGATGGTCATCACAACCTTTTAAAACAAAGGTAGGGTTGCAGGATGGTCATCACAACCTTTTAAAACAAAGTTAGGGTTGCAGGATGGTCATCACAACCTTTTAAAACAAATTGGCATGGTTGCAGAGTCTTGGAACAGGCAATGCAGAGCCATTTGCAGTTAAGATACAGGCGGAGCATAGCTGAATCTGGGAGAAACAGAGATTTAATCGGAAACAGGACTGAGCCCAGTTTGCCTTTACTATAAGATGGCTTTTAAGTCTAAGAATTTAGCTAGACTGACTCATTACTTGCAAATAAGTTAGCTAATCATATTTTTACAATGACACTTTTACATTATTGTATGTGTGTTGGGGGGCGGTCTGTGTGTGCACATACATGCATATGCATGTGCATGTGGGCCTGAACTTGTGAGCTTGCTTGTGAAGGTCAAACATCAGTTTATGAGAACTCATTCCCTTTTCTACCACATAGGTTCTAGGGATTGAACACAGGTTACCTTTCTACGGTTAGGGGTCGATGAGCAGCGCAGCGAGCCCTCTGTCTGACTGACATGTCTCTTCGGCTCTTAGGGGCTGCCTTAGTGCACAGGACCCAAACTGATCTCTTTCCTTGAACCAGCCTCACCCCTTTTCTTCTACACCAGGATGAACTTCCTTTTGTGGCCTCTCCATCAGAGCCCACATACAGTCCCATCAGGCTGTGGTTAGCTATATATCGCTCCTTTTTGTAACCAGTTTTCCTTTTCATACCTAGAGATTTATATGTCACACCTCACTCGTGTGTGCGCGCGCGCGCATGTGTGTGTGTGTGTGTGTGTGTGTGTGTGTGTGTGTGTGTGTGTGTGTGTGTGTGTGTAGTGAGACAGACTGGGAGATACAGAGACAGAGAATGAGCACACTCCTGTTAAAACAGAAGCCACACAACTCACCCGTTTGAATACCCACAGTGGCGTTTCCTACAGACTAAAGCCATGGCCATTAGGGTCTGGCCCAGCATGACTCTGGCCTTCCTGGTCTTCTCTACCCCATTCTCCCCACCCTGGCCTCTGTGCCACTTTACTCCACTGAACTTCCTCCTCAGGGTTGTTAGGCAAGTCCCAGCTGTCAGATGTCTGTGGTGCCTTTCTTCTTACAGTAAACATCACTCGGTGCTCATTTAATGGTAGCGTTCTTCATCCTCTCTCATTTTCTTCCTTTTGTTTTTCTTTTCCCACTGACCATTACATAAAGTGCTTTCTGTTTTCCCTCGTTGCCTGCCTTCCTCACTAGAACTTACGTTTCAGCAGAGGAAGGATTTAATGTGTTCATATATCTGACATACCTGCCTAGATCTAGCCTTTTCTGTGCCCAATAATGGTTCTATGATGAATGTGCGAATGAAGAGGACATATTCATGATTACAGTGTCAATGAATGAAGAATATTACAGGCTTTGTGGCACTTGCCTTACTCTTCTGTTGTGGCTATAATATGAAACTTCCATGGAGACCTGATATTACGCAGGTTCCTGTTTTGGTGCAGAACTCACCTACTACCTGGCACATAACAAGTGACAGCTAGCATGCTGGCATAGAGCTTGAGGGCCCAGAAAATGCGTGCTTCTCTGCAAGGCCTTTCAGCTGGAGCTTATTTTGGAGGGACAGTTTTTGTTTCCAGGTGTACCTGTGGATTAAGTTAAAAGTACAAAGTCAGTATTCTATTTATTCTATTTATCCCGTGGATGGATGTAGGATAGACTTTCACACATCTCTGTCATTGGCCTCTCTGTGCTCAGCCACGTATGTTTTCCATACATATTTTTGTTAACCCCATAATTATATTCAACCTATTACACTACTCATATTTTAAATAGGAAAAGATAAAGAATTGTCATTTAAGTTAAACTGCTTGAGCAGATATTTTTTCAGTTGAACATAAGTTCATGTTCCAGTATGCACACATTTTCTATTCCCCTTGAAATTTTCTTTTCAGGCTTAGGGCATGTGTTGGGTGAGACTCTCCTTCCTTTGGGGTTGTTCTCCTGTGTAGTGCGATATTTTTTTGCTTAATTTTTTTTTTTTTTAAAGACCTTAGCATTCTAATTAATAAATGGTTCTCTATTTAAAAAAACTACACTGTGGTTTCTGAGTTCAGATCTCTTAAATTGTACTTGGTCATGTAAATAAGCTGTGCTTTGCAACTTTGGGTTTTTAACCTTTGCTCTTTGCTATTAGCTTTATGTTTTTTTAATTATTGGAAAATGGAGGACACTAGGAAAGTTATGACTTAAATGGACTGTTGTTATTACTGTATTCTTTTTTCAGGAAATGAAAAATGTTATTTATTCTTTCCAAATCAAGCAGAAACAAATATAGAACATCTTATGCTGTTGTTTTTTGGCTCACCACTTAATATTATCACAGTTTGATTCTTTAAATGTGATTATTATCTTTCCATTATGATGATTGATGACATGACCAGCTCTTCATGGTTGCAAACATCCATCGTCGTAGTTGTTATTGCCTACTATATGAAGTAGAATGGTGTTTCCAGTGCATGCAAGTTTAATTGAATAATGAAGTAACAATCATTTAATAATGCAAATATATTATTTCCTACCTACACACTTTCCTAATATTGTGTGAAAATAAGTATATGATATTTTCAGAAGCATGGTTTTGTGATTCTAGAGACATTCTGCTTTTGGTTTTTGTTGCAAATCTCTTCTGAGAGGCTGCAGTCCTTCACATTGCTCACATTTCCCATCTGTGCAAACATGTCCAGATGAATCCACTGTTTAATGTTAAGAGTCTTATAACATGCCAATTTGATTTGTAGCCTTTCATATCATAGAATGCTAATTAAAATCATATTTTTGCATGTGTCATGCCTTTCATGTACATATGCAAATAGATTCAGTTGCCTTTTAGCTATTAGTAATTAACTTTATGAAGGACAGCTGTAATACATAATTAACAAAAATGTTTGCAAGCCCTTTACACTCAAAGTTACAACAGGAAATCCACGCCCCCATTTTCAAATTAGCCTTTTTTTGTCTGATGCTTCAGCATGAAAACTAATGTTGTAGAAAGTCACATAATCGATGTTGTGCTGAGTGCAAGGACAGTGTTTTGTGTGCTGGATACGCGTTCTGTCCATCCACACATATGTTTATAAGCTTATCTGTTTGTAAATTAAGATATCGAGTCGGAAGATACTCTTGCTTGTTCCATTTATATTGAGAGTTTCTTGGCACAAAAGCACATTTGTGTGTATGTTTGTCCATGTTGTAGGTACAGTAAACATGCCATTTTAAAAGCCTCTCTGCCAATTACAGCTGTGTTAAAAAAAAAAAAAAGCTTCATATGATATATTCATTTTGTCTCTAACAGTCCTTTACATATGTAGTAAAACGACACTGACTGGAGCCCTGTTATGATTGAAGTGTGGGACTGGCTAGGGGTAGTGTCCATTGCACTGTGGTGCTTTTTGTTTTTCTTTCCAGTGACTAAAGGACCACAGCCATTGCTTTGATCTTTTGGTCACTGTTAGTATTCCCAAACCAGGAAAGTTAGAAGGGGGTGTTTCTTTGGCCTTTTAGGGGAAGAGCTGTTCTAATGAGTGTGTCCATGTGGTGCTGGTGTGTGCCTGTACCAGGGCCATGCTTACACACTCTCTACAATTCTCCAGCCAGTTGTCATATGTAATTCTATAATTCATTTTCATTTATTTTTAGGGTTGCTTTTGTAATGAAGAAGCACTTAAATACTCACCTACTAGGCAAGCATGGAGTTGGCACCCCAAAAGAAAGGTAATTTTCATTCCTTCGTATTTTGTGTTTAGTAAGTACAGTTATTTGTGTCTACTTGTGGTTTTGTTTAATGAAATAACTTCTCAAATGTGTGCCAGTGGTTCATCTTGAATTTGTAGCTTCCTTCTTGAATGCCGTTTATTATGTCAGCCCTTCAGAAAATGCAATGAAGTCTGGAAATAGTTGAAAGGTATGTTGATGAGAATGAAAGTGGAATTGGAGGGAGCTGACCCTGGTCCGCACCTTTGCATACGCTGTAGCAAATGCGTGGAGCTAAGCATTGCGTATGTGGGGGGAGGGCGGGAATAAATGCTGTCTTTACTGTACTTTTATTTTGGGGTTTAAAATAACATTTTGAGTTTTTACTGTAGACTTAAACTGGTATTAGAAATGAAATATCTTGTGTCATCCCCCAAATAATACTACAGTTGCCATGTCATGAAAAATAACACTACAATTATGGTGCCATCAACTGCCAGGTTTATTTTTCCTTGGTGGTATATCATAATTAGCTTTATCATGTAGGCTTAATTATTTTAGCTGAACTGATATCTAGCAGTGTCAGCTACCAGGTGAGCATGGCTACTCGTGACAACTTTCAAGCTGTGGAAATGTACTTACTCAGTACACCCTCAGCTTCCTGAACTGTAGGCTACGTTCAGCTTTCTTTTAAACCCCTAAGAAATTACTTGAGATTCTACACTCACCCACGTGTCAGTAATGGCATGCTGACAGCTCTGAAGGCATCCACCAAAAAATGTTAAGGCCGCATGCAGTCTTCTTAGCAATATCTCAAGGTGAAATGGCCCTTTGAAAAATTAAGTGCTGTCAGTGTCCTTAGCATGAGAGTGTGGTCAGAGAGGATGCTGAGATACTGGATGCTGCATCTGCCTCTGTTGCTCCTAAAGCATCATTTCTCATACATTTCATTGTAATACTGAATGTATTCTGGTGCAAATATACCCAGGTAAAAAGTGTATCATATGCAGAGTATTGTTAAAATGTAGGAAAGTGTGTGCTTTCAGAGAATAATTTGGATATACCAAAGGTATGTTTATACTTAGTTTAGAAAATGAGAAAATGAAAAAAAAAACCACACAACAACAACAACAAAAAAAACCAACACATTTTTATTACTATGTTCTTATTGCTTTCACATGAGTTATCCCAATCATTCTATAATCTTAAGTATTAACATTATGGTTCTAATTTTATAGCTATAAGGAATAGGAATCAGAAAGTTGGACATAATTTATGTTCTTGTTTTTTTCTCACTCAAAATCATGTATGTTTAGTTAAACTTCATATACACATTATTTATCATGCCAACACCTTCAATGAGAAGATACCTCTTGTATAGTATACCATGAGTTTGAAATTGATGAATTTGCTGTTTGGTTTTTCTATTTAGCTTTCCTGTGCTTTGTAAGTATCTTCTGTGTCTTTAACTCTGTAGTGTGAATTTAGCTGGAGAGATGGGGTGGTTTTAAGAGAGTGGCTTCCGTAGGCTCGGATGTGTGAACACACAGGGCTGTTTGGGAAGGGTTAATTGGCGTGGCCTTGGTGGAGGTTTCACCAGCAGGCTGTCCTCGCAGTTAGCGCCTGCCATCCTCATCCCATGCGCTTTGCACTGCTGTGCATGGACACGTGAGCTCTCAGATCCTGGTCCAGTGCCAGCCCGGGCTGCCTACCCATGGTGTCTTACTTATGACAGTAATAAAAGAGCGACCAAGACAAGATGTATGCCTTTCCTTTGCTATGACAAAATCCCCGAGGTAATCAGCTTTAAAGGAGGACAATTACTATGACTTAGTTTCTTTTGAATGTTTTTAACTGTGGTCGTTTGGTTCCATTACTTTTGGTCCCTGACTCACAGGGGGCTGTGCACAAGTTGGAGGAGGAGTCCTTTTGTCTTAGGTAACAGAGCAGGAGAGAGATTCAGAAAGGAACCCAGGGGGTTCTTTCAGGTACTGATTTCTTCCCCCAGACCCAGCTGCTTACAGCTACCTCTACCTCCCAGTGATGCCTTAAGATGGCGGCCAGTATTTAAGCAGATTGCCCATGGGGACACTGCAGCTTCATCCAGTGACAGGAAGGTCACATGGCTTCCTCTCTTGTGAGATACTGCCTTTCTCTTGTAGCCATTATACTAGCCTTGTCAAGCAGTGCAGCAATGATGTCAGGTTATCTGGATGGCTACTTTTAGGTTCTTCACTGACAATGTTCATCTACACTAGATATCTTTGAATTTTTCTTCCTGCTAAGAATTCTTTGATTCAGATATGTTTGTGATGTTGTCTTTCTTTTTTTTTTTCTAGCATTATTGTCTCGAATGGTGAATCAGAATTCCCAGACTTAGCTATAAATATTATTTTTCAATGTGCATCTGTGATTGGAGAAGATCATGGCTTACAAATGCAATTTAGTACAAGGTTCCTCCTTTGTGTGTGTGTGTGTGTGTGGTTTTAACCATTACAGTTACTGTGAATTTGCTGTACCTTTAGTTTGGAAGTAATGCTTGTCAATTAACTTAAAAATTTTTCTCACCATTTAAAACATTTTTACAAGCTTGCTATATTTTGATTTTCCCAGAACAGTATAAACAGTTTATATTTTATGTTTGGAATTTGATTCTACTCTCTAATGCATTGCATATTACAGAAAAATGTAATAGAAATTAGCTAAATAGGCCTTGGCAATTAAATTAATAATGGATTTTGTTTGTAAGTATTTAGGTCTTTTGCTTTGACTGATACATGAAAAATGATGATTCATTAAAAACAAATCCACATACTTGCACTCTCAAGTTTGATGAACCACTTCACTTTGTCAACACGACTAGCATTAGAAGGAAAAAACCTAAAACTTCATTCGCATTTGTTTTGAAGTCTTCTGAATACTTGAAATGATGACAGCTTCCTTATGATTCCAATTTTTGAGCCTCAATTTGCATTAACTCACCTTAAGGTAGGATAACATAGTATTTGTGAGGCATTTTGCACTTAAATATAAGCAATTGAATATTGCCACATCCAGCTCATATTTTTAAATAATATACTCCAATTAATTTGCAAGTCTATACTAAAGTAATTTCTGTTTTAAATGAGTATTTATCTCTGCTCTACAAGTGAAGGAAAATGTCTTTAGAATGCTTTGATTTCATCCGTAATAATCTTCAACAGATTTTTTTTTACAATTAAAAAATATATACAGCCAGAACAAGTATGTTTCCTGTAATATCAGGTCTGTGCTGTACACTGCTTAAATCTGCTGGCTTTGAATAATAGGGCAGATAGGAGAGGTACACTTTTTTTTTTTTTTTTTTTAAATGCCTCTAAGTGAGTGTGTGTGTGTTTGCTTGTGTTGGATACCATCAAGAAATACCCTTACTGGTAGAACCTTTCCAGAATGCTCATGGTACAATGTTGATATTAAAGGATTTTGAATTAGGTAGTCTATAGTAATCCATAGGTTTAAATGATTCTGTGGACAAGGAAATCCACCTGCAATTTAATAGTGATTAACCAGATCGCAGTCTGCCTGCTGTAGGGAAGCTATGTTTGGAAGCTGTCAGCACAGCTGTGTGTGTTTCTATTGAGGCTGGATGATTTCTGTACATTTCCAGCATAGTTGTGTGGGTTTCTGTTGAGGCTGGTGGACTTCTGTACATTTCCAGCACAGCTGTGTGGGTTTCTGTTGAGGCTGGTGGACTTCTGTACATTTCCTTCAGGTGACTGCACCTCAATCCTGTTGTTGGCCCCCCTTTCATTGAGCATTTGAGATTTTGGGTTAGCTGTCATTTGTAAAAAGTTATGGCCCACTGAATGTGATTAAAGTTGTTTGCACACACATGTGTAGGGGCTATTTACTAGATCATGGACAACTTATTAGTAGGCATACCCTGAAGAAAAATGACTCCCCTCTTCCATCAACCACTAAGGGACAGCACTGCCTCAGGTTGGAGGGGCCTCACGAATCCCTCCTCCATTCATGCTGGAATGTGATGGCTTGGCTTCCTTTTCTCTTTTTCCCTCAAAAAGTTTGTGTTGAAATAGTGGAAATGTATCATTTCCTATGCCGTTTGGATTTAAAATTTGTTGTGCCACTATTATACGGGACACATTATGCGTTTCCTGTGGGTTTTTGTGATCAATAAAGCGATTCTAGAGGTACTTTGGGTTGTCTTTCCGGAATGTTGCCATTCTTTGAAAGAAATGGTACATTTTTCAGAAAATGAATGACCCACCACTTAGGGTTTAGGAAGACCGTTCCTATAGTGTACGGTTTTACTCCATTTAAAATATAGTTATCGCTTCATTGTCCATCTCAAATAAAGCGTGGGTTTGCTCTAGCAGTTCAGCCGTGTGTATTTCTGTGTATTAGAAGATAGTTTCCTGTCACTCAGTATTAATGCGGTTGACAAATCGTCCCTTTGTTTGAACTGGGCTGGGCGTCTTCATATGTAAGCTCTGCCTCTTTCTGCTATCACTGTGGGCCTCAGGCAACAAGACTGCTCAGTGCCCTGTGCTCCGCGTCTCTCTCCTCTTAAGGTTTTCTTTCTTTCTCTTGTTTACAAGTGTTTTTAAAATCTACTCACACAAGTTAATTTAGGAAAAATAAAATGTTTACGGGCTTGTGTCGATGTTAAAAATATTTGCAGAAGCAATCTCTGTTGTGGTAAAGTGGAGACAAGCACGCCTGTTCTTTCAGGCTACAGTTTAATGACTTAGTGCACCTTTGTATGTTTCCAGGCTCTCTTTCCTCCCTCTTGTCCATGTCTAAATAGTAGTCTGCGAGGGTGTGACACAATAGTTTTATAAGAAGAGCCTTTAATCGGGAGGAAGCCCAGTGAATCATTTCTCAGTAGAATGATTTAAGAGCCACATCATTCATCCAAACCAAATGTTGTTCTTGATGGAGGATTGGCTTCTGCTTTTTATTGGGATCCATCACTAGTTTATTGAGGTGCACATGGATGGAGACACACAGTTTCTGCCAAA